GTCTGACGTTTCCCCGATTCTCACTTCGCCCCCTCGCTCGCCGCCGAGATGGACGGAAGGAGGGATGGGAGAGGCGATCACTGCACGTGCTGCAGCGGACTTTTGCATGGACCTCTGCCAATGCAAGAACCCCCGAAGCGCCGAGCAAAAAAACGAAAAGCATGTCACGTGGATGTTTCGTAATCCTCATCCCTGGTCAAGAAGAATCCGCACGACATTCACCTCGGAATCCGGAACGAGATGCTCCAGGACCGTCCGGTCCCATCCCCCTGTGTTTTCCGAACGAAATCCGCTCTGCGACATTGGCGCCATGAGAGATGGCCCGTGTAGAAGAGAAAAACGGCATGAACATAAACTTTCTGGCGCTCCGCGCGGATTTCTTGGATCTGCACTGGAACCCTCCTCCCTGGCGCGCGGAGCGCGCCAGGGGCGGCGCCGGAGGCGCCGCCGAGGGGGCCCAGTGCGAATCCAAGACATCCGCGCGGAGCGCCAAAAACTTATGTCCATGCCGCTGTTTCTCCTTCGACCGAGGGCCCCGAGGAAGCGCAGCAGCTTCTCCGCGCCGAGGGGCAGACTGAGAATGGTGTTTCGGTCAAAGCTCGAGTAGACGACTGGTCTGAGGTCTCTCGATACTCTAGTCGAAGGCGTTCAAGGCTTCAGACTCGACTGGTGTGATTGGGTAACCCTGCAGCTGCTGTAAATCTCGAGATCAATCCCGCAAACGGACCGCGCGCGAAAATAACTGACAGAGTGCGAATAATGCTCCGACCAGGGCTCGAATCTCATTTTAGGCTTCTCGAGGCCCCCCTGGAAGCCGGCGCCCCCCGGGGCCCCCGGCGCGCGCCGTCTCTGCGGGAGGCCTCGCGGCGGGCCGACGGGGGAGGGGCGGGGGCGCGAGCTCGGCGCGCGGACTGCGAGCAGGGGGCGATCTGGGCAGAGCGGCGAAGAGGTGCCCGGGCGAGAGCGCGATTCCTACGCCAAGCGTTTTCGTGAGCGTTTTCTTATCCGGCGTTGCGACATCGGCGGACGAGGGGGCGGGGAGAGGGGGGGTCTGGCTCTGGACCTCTGCTTCGTGCGACTGTTTGCGACAGTGCGTCCTATTGGGGAGACACTCCACCTGCAGAAGCAGGCGCCAAAAACAGCCCAAGATCCCCTCCAGGGGGGGGGGAGAGGGGGGGCAAGGTCCCGCGCCGATCGGCAAAACAATGAATAAAAAACAAGCACTTGTGAGGAAGCCCCAAGCGAGAGCGCGAGTCCTGCGCAAGCTTCTTCCCCATACTAGGCTTGTCTACTAAGGGGGTCTTACTCGGCCATAGACGTGTGCCTCCTAAATTCTACGTGGCCCGTGGCTCGGAAGTTCCCCCGGTTCCCTGGTTTCCCCGAGTTCCCCCAACTGGGGTCGCGTCAGGTTCCTTCTTTGCGGACGGAGCAAGGGAGGAGATTACCCCGCAGGGTGTGGGGAGAGACGATGCCGAACTCGAAAGCATCGCTGCGGTGGCAATTGCGGATTACCCTATAATGTCTACGTCGAGCGCTGGAAGGATCTCTCTGCGTGCGCAAGCTGTAAGGAGACTGATCGGACAAAAACGGGAAGCGCCGCTTCAGTCCAGTGGGTGTAGTGGGCGAAGAAGAAGAAAAGGAAGGCGAGGGCGACGAGGAGGCGATGACGAAGACAAAATAGAGAACGTGCGGATAGCGAGGAGCATGAGGACAACGAGAAGGAAGACAAGCACAAGGACGAGGACGAAGAGAACGAGGGCGAGTACGAGGAGGGATGCGGAGGCAACTGGAGAAGGATACTGAATAAGGAAAGGGTCCTGGTGACCCTATCGGGCTGCCTTGGAGGCTCCTGGCGCCGCGCGGGGTTGTATTGGGGCCTGTTGGGGGACCTTTTGGGGCCTCTTGGGTCCTCTTGTAGGTTTCTGGGGTCTTCTTGGGCTGTCTGGGCGCGTCGTGGGGTTCTTTGGGAACTTTCTTGGGCCGTCTCGGCGCCATCTTGGGCCGTCTCGGAGCTTTCTTGGGCCGTTTGGGGGCCTCCTGAGGGGGTTCCGGGAGTATCTTGGAGCCCTCTTGGCCCATCGTGGGCCGTCTTGGGGTTCTTGTGAGCTGTCTGGGTGCCTCCTGCAGCGCTGTCGGGGGTCTCTTGGGGTCCTCTTGGGGCGCTCTTGGGCGTTCTTGGGGCCCTCTGGCGTCTTCTGGGCCTCCTTCGGGCCGTTCGAAAGCCCTCCGGGAACGATTCTAAGACGACGTCGATTCCAGGGCCGATGTTTGAGGATGTCTCGAGCGAAACTGCCATTTTTCAGAAACCTGACCAGACAAGAACGGGAAGCGTCGCTTTTGCTCACTACATGTGTGAAACATGCTCTGTCACGCAGGTCTGTCGTGGCGTGCGTGCGTTTGCGCGTGCGCGTGCGTGCGTCGAGTATGCGCATGCGCGTCCGTGCAAAATGGTCTGAAGCACTTCTCTTTTATGCCGTGCGGGTCTACCGTGCTCCTGCGGTCTGCGTGAACGTATGCTAACAACAAGAGCACAGCAGACCACAGCAGCACGGCCGACCAGCACGGTAGACCAGCACGACGGAGCAGCACGGCAGACCACAGGAGCATAGCAGACCACAGCAGCATGGCAGACGAGCCCGGCAGACCAGCACGGCAGACCACAGGAGCATTGCAGACCACAGCAGCACGACCGACCAGCACGGCAGATCAGGACGGCAACCGCAAGAGCCTAGCAGACCACAGCAACCCGGCAGACCAACACTGGGGGGGGGGGGGGCCAAACATACACCACCACCAGGCGGCCATAGGAAAGAAACCATCCTGCGCGCGACCGCCCCGACAGGGTTGACACTGCCTGCCCCCGCCAAGCACAAGTACTCGCCAAATGGTCATGCGCGCAGATGGAGGCCTCATTCGGTCGTGAAAAATTGCTCCCAAGCACCCTATGGCAACACGGTGGTGGTGTACAGAAACGACAGAAATGTACACCACGTGAATGTGTTGTTTTTTGCTCATGCAACCGCGTGCCCAAATGACGCTGCACGCGCGACGTGTCATTATCGCGAGATTTGACGCACCCTGCAACCCACCACCGAAACAATTCGCCGGCCCACCGGGCCAGAGGCGTGCTAAGATCTCCGGTAACAGCTTTAGAATAATTCTACTTCGCGCGCTCTGGGCGGCCCTTGGGGATCCCCGGACAAAAAATACGCGGACGGACACCCTGCAAACTCCGGGTCAGAGATGGCGGAACTCCCGGGCGCGGTTCTGGCGGCTCCCGGATCGCTCCAGGAGCGCCCCAAACCAAGGGTTGCGAGTCGCACACTGATCGTTCCCAGATGTCCAAGATGGCCTCCAGATGGCCCCACAGACCTCCACAATGTTCAACACGCCTCCAAAACGCCTCCGAAGAGAGCCCCCCAAACCGTTCCATTCCCCTCGTGAAAACGTATACGTTTACCCGATTCGCCTCCTCAGCCTTCGCAACGTCCAAGACGGCCCCAGGAGCTCCCAAGATCGCCCAAAAGACCGCCGAAGAGGCCCCCAAAAAGGCTCCAAGACAGCCCCAGAAAGCCTCAAGACGGCTCTAGGAACCCCAAGACAGGCCAAGACGGCCCCCGGACTGCGTCAAGGAGGGGCCCACAGGAGGAACCAAACCAGACGTTTCGAACCTTCGGGGCCCAGACGTCCCGAGGAAGCTCCCGGAAGCTTCCAAGAGGCCCCAAGAGGCTCCAAGAGAACCCACAAGAGCCTCACAACGCTCTCACAGAGTCCCCCGGGGGCCCCCCAGAAACTGAACAACTCCTTCGAACACGTCTTTGAAAAACCTCTCTCGAAACTCTACCAGCCGTCCGAATTGCTTCAGGCACATGATTCAGGCACGGTGGTTGGATAGGCCCACGGCTACTCGTCACTCGTAGGTGCCACGCCCCACTCACGCCAAACGCACTCCAAATTTGCCGACGCATCTTCTTCCGTCTTTTCCTCCTCCTCCTCCTCCGCCTCCTCCTCCGCCTCCTCCTCCTCCTCCTCTTCTCCGAGTGGCCTCAGACACTCAACCCAGGCACGGTGGCGGGATGGGCCGAACGCCACTAGTTGGCGTCAGCTCCAGCGGCCCAACGGGCCAGAGGCGTGCTAAGATCTCTGGCAACTGGGAAACTGTATTTCTAGTTCGCGCGCGCAGGGCGGCCCCTGGAGGTCCGCGGCCGACAAATACCCCGAGCAGGTCCCGATCAGATCCCCAACAAGTTCCCATCAAAGACGGATCTGCTCCTGGGCGCCGCCCTCTAAGGCCTCTCAAGAGCCCCAAGGGCGGCCCTGAGGCCCCCAAGAGGCCCGCAAGGGCACGAGAACACCACCACGCAGCCACAGTGATGCGAAATGGGCTGGCGGGATGAGCGAAGCGATCAAATAATCCGATCAATCCCCATGACAGAAAACCAACCCGCGGTGGTGATGACTATGTGTGGGACCTGGAGACTCGGCAGACCAGCACGGCAGACCACAGGAGCATAGCAGACCACAGCAGCATGGCAGACGAGCCAAGCAGACCAGCACGGCAGACCACAGGAGCATAGCCGACCACAGCAGCATGACTGACCAGCACGGAAGGCCAGCAAGGCAGGCCAGCACTGCAGACCACAGAATCATAGCAGACGGCAGCAGCACGACAAGCCAGCACGACAGACCAGCACGGCAGACCACCAGAGCATAGCAGACTGCAGCAGCGCGGCGAACCAGCACGGCAGACCATGCAGACCAGCACGGCAGAGCAGCACGGCAGACCACAGAAGCACAGCAGACCACAGCAGCACGGCTCCGTAGCCATTTTGGCTCAAGGCCATGGAGCACCCGACGACCGCGAGTCGTCCGCGGCGCTCTGAGCGCGAGGGGCTCTTCGCTAAGGCCCAGCTCACAAGTGATTGTTCTTCGTGCCTCGAGTCTCGGCCGCGAGGCCGCAGTTTTGGGCCGCGAGGCCACACGTCTGGGTCAGCCTTGCCATGGTGGCGGACGGTCAGCCAGCTGGAGGCCGCTCTTGGGACAGCGTCGCAGCGGGCGGCAAGGTCAAGGGCAATTGGAAGTACTGGGTCTGCTCCAGCGGCCAGTGCAGGGAGTGGAACTGGCGCACGCTCTGGAAGTGCCGCAGCTGCGGCCGAGTGGCCCCGCCTTGGGTCAAGGCAGCCCAGCCGCCCGCGGCAGGCGCAGGCCAAGCGCCGCCCGTCGCCGACGCCCAGGGCTTCGTCGTCCAGCCCCGTGGGAGGAAGGCGAGGCGCCAGGCCAAGCGCGCGGCTGCCCGCGCTGCCAGCGCTGGGGCCGCCAGCCAGGCAGGCGTCAGCGGGGCCGGCAGCGCGCAGCCGTCGGCCGTCGAGCGGCACCGCCAGGAGGTCAAGCGCATCGAGGACTTCCTCGCGGCCCCTGGCGGGGCGATCGACGAGGCGTGCCAGCAGTCGCTGCGCGCGGCCCTCGACCGCGAGCGTCGCAGGCCCTCGGCAGCCGAAGCGGCGCAGGCGGAGCGCAGGAAGGCCGACATCCCCCTGCCCAAGGCGCTCCACGGCGCAGGCAACGCCCTGGGGAAGCTGGGCAGGCAGGGACGGGCCAAGGAGCAGGCGCTGCTCAAGGCCGAGGAGGCCCATGCGGCGGCCATCGGCGAGCGCGAGGCGGCCATCGAGCGCGAGGCCGCATGCGCCGAGGCAGTCGAGGAGTGCCGAGCTGCTCTCGAGGCTCACCGCGAGGAGCAGAAGGCCGCAGAGGCCAGGCAAGCCCAGGAGGTCGGCGCGGCCTTCGCTGGCACTGACTTGCTCGGGATGGTCTTCGGCCTCATCCAGCAGGTCGAGGCCTTGCCCCAAGGGTTCGCCGCGGGCAACGGGGAGGCCGCCTTCGCTGAGGTCGCCAAGCAGATCGCAGCGGTCCGCAGGCATGCACCCCCCGAGGCCAGGGGGCGCTCGTCCTGGGCCGACACCCCCTTCGACGTCTCCGACGAGGACCTCGACGGAGATGAGGAGGAGCGGGTGCGTGCGTCGTCGGCCCCCCCTCTGCAGGATGCCGCCGAGCGCGGCCAGGCAGCGCGGCGAGGAGAGGCGCGCGGTGCGTGGCCCCCAGCCCAGCCGCTGGCCAGGGGCCTTGCCAACGCTGGGGCGGCCCTCCTCGACGACCAGCCGCTGGCTACGGCTGCTGGTGGCCTTGCTGCTGTGGGCCGCGGTTTGGTTTGACGTCGCTTCGGCAGCCCCGAGTTCAGTAGGTAGCAGGAGGGTCAGACGGCGCCTGAGTGCGCAGGAGCCAGCGGAGCGGGGAGCCCAATGCCTTTACCTGTGCTTGGGCAAACCTGCGAGTGCGGCACCAGGCTGTGGGGGAGCGTTGAGGGCCGCCGACGGGCGGGTGGCCGATGCCCCTCACCCCCCCGCGCTCCCCGCCGAGGCCGCTGGCGAGCGGGCGGCCGAGACCCTCGACGGGCGTAGCGAAGCCGCGGTGCCAAGCGACCAGAGGATGAGGATGACGGCACAGGAGGCCTGCATTGGCAAGGCGCGCCTCGGGCCTCAGCCTGCCCCTGAGTCGGGCCCTCGAGGGCCTTGCCCCCCTGCGTGCTGGCCTGGAGGTCCTGGGCTGCAATGGTAACGTCTGGAACAGGAGCGTCGAGGTCCTCGAGGCCTTCTTCCACCCCCACCAGTACTGGCCGCAGCTGGTCATCCTGCAGGAGACGAGGATGACCCAGGAGCGCCTTCCTGGGGCCAGGGCGCTGTCCGCCTGCCAGCTCCCTGCGGCCCTTCGCCACCGCCTCATCGGCGTATGAGGTGACGGCGCCGTCGGGCCTCCACTTGCTGGCCTTGGCAGGGTACTTCCAGCACTCTCTGGGCCCGCGGGGGATCAACCTCGACCTGTTCTCATCGGTCGCGGACCTGGTGGCATTCTCGCTCGACTTGCCCTGGGTCCTCCAGATCGGTTTCAACATGGAGCCCGAGCCCCTGCAGGAGTTGGGCTGGCCTGCTGCGGTTCGCGGGCAGGTGCTCGGGCCCTCGGAGGCGACCTGCTGCGCCCAGGGCTTGGAGCACGTCTACGACTGGTTCGTCGCGTCGTCGGACCTGGCCACTTGCACGGCGTCCTGCACGACCACGCTCAGCGACGTCGGGCTGCACCCGCACTCTCCTGTGCTGCTGCGCCTCCAGGACGTCAGGTGCGATGCCCTGGTCGAGGTGCCCTCCCGTCCTGCTCGTTTTACTGATGTGGAGGTCAAAGGCCTGCGCTCCCGCGAGGACGCCATGGTCCAGGCCTTCGCTGTCGGCAAGCGCGGGAAGGTGTCGCAGAAGGCTGTGTCTTGGTCATGGGCTCAGGGTTCGCGCCCGACCTGTCTCTCCGAGGCCCTCAGCGAGTGGACCGAGGCGGCGGAGGGCACCCTCACGGGCATCCACGGGATCGCGCCAGGCGACCTGCCGCGCTACCTTGGGCGAGCGGCTGGGCCCAGGACCAGGCGCATGCCCTTCAGCGCGCTGGTGCAGCGCGAGGCCAGGCTGAAGTACAGCATGCTGACCCACCGCCTGAGGAGCTGTCTCTCGGTCGCCCTCCAGAGGCTTCGCGCTGAGCAGGCCAGCAGGTGGCACCCGAACCACACCTGGTGGTATGAGCAGGAGGCTGCGGCGAGGGCGAAGCTCCTGGACGAGGCGGCCCAGGAAGTGGCTGGTCTTCAGGGCGTGGCCCTCCCTGGGGTCTCCGACGTGAAGTGGGTGACCTCGCCTACCACGCGGGGGCGAATGGCTGCCCCACGGCGATCGCCAAGCTGCAGTCGTGGCTCCTGGCGTCTCAGAGGCGCGATGCCGCTGAAGGCGCTGCCGCTTGGCGCAGCTGGGCCCAGACGGCGGTGGAGAAAGGAGGCCGCCTGGCCCACCGCTTCTCCAAGGCGACTCCCACGCCTGTTGTCAGGGACGCCGACACTGGGAGGCCGCTCGTCGGCATGGACGCCGTGGACCAGCTCACGCGCTCGTGGCAGCGGCTCTGGCTCCAGGAAGGCTTCTCCAGTGGAGTCGGAGCCCACCGCTGGGATGTTGGCTCCTGGACGCTGCCGCCCATCACCCTGGATGCTTTCCAGCAGGCGTGCAAGCGCTTCGGCCCGTCGATGGGGCTGGGCTGCGACAACTTGCACCCTCGCCAGCTCCTTCTGCTGCCAGTGGCGCTGCAGCTTCGCCGGATTGATATCCTCACGGCGTTCGAGGACGAGCCTTCATCGATCGTGGGACAGGTGACGCTCATGGTGTGTATCCCTAAGGCAGACGGAGGGACGAGGCCCATCGCGCTGCTCCCGTTGGCCTTGCGGCTTTGGTCTCGCCTGAGGCAGCCGTGCTGTGCCCGATGGGAGTCAGACCACAACTTCCCCTTCGTTTGGGGTCGCGATGGCCGTGATTGTGAGCGAGCGGGTTGGATCCACAACTGCTTCGCGGGCTTCGCGATGGCCTCCCCGCAGTTCGAGGTGGCCAGCCTGTTCCTGGACATCCGCAAGTTCTACGAACACGTTCGCCACGACGTCCCCTGGGCTTCGGCCCAACGCTTCGGCTTCAACCTGAAGCTGTTGCGCGGCCTCCTCGCCATCTACCAGGCCCCGAGAATCGTGCTGGCAGGTGGCATGGCGTCGCCCCCCTTTGGGGCCAGTGGCACAGTGCTGGCTGGCTGCGCGTGCGCGACGGCTGCAGCTAAGCTTCCCCTACTTGGAGGTCTCCTCGCAGCAGGGGCTCAGCGGCCTCTAACCACCCTGCGGAACTTGGTGGGCGATGTCTCGTTCCAAGTTGTCGGCTCGGCGAGGTTGGTTGTGGACCAGCTCGCGGGGGCTAGTGGCGAAGTGCTGCGACACCTGCGGGCCCACCACCTCCCGCTCAACGAGGGCAAGTCAGTGTTCCTGGCCTCGTCGGCGCAGGTGGCGGACGGCCTCGCTGCCAGCTGGGCCGCCCTCGGCTTCGAGGTCAAGCGCGGCCTCCAGGCCCGCAGCCTGGGCACCGACGCCAACGTGACCCGCAGAGGGGTCCACGAGGGAGCCGCCCGTGCGGTGGGGGGCCTCTCCCGTGCCAGGCGGCTGCGTACCCTGAGGTCGGCGGGGGCCGCGGTGGTGCACATGCACAGCGCAGGCCCAAGCGCCGCCATGCTGCGGGGCAGGACGGTCGCAGGGGTGCCCGACGGCGAGTTGCACTCCCGGCGCCTGGCGTCAGCGCGCTCGGCTGGGAAACTTCCCAAGGGCGCCTCCCTTGGGCTGAGGCTCAGGGCGATCGAAGTGCAACGCTCCGCCGACCTGGACCCGAGCCCAGCCCTGGTGCGAGCCGCGGTGCAGATGGCAGCCAGCCTCCTTCAGACGGGCGAGGTGCCCCTGAGGATGTTCGCCACCTGCCTGGTGGAGGCCGAGCGCAGGCACGGCAGCGCCAGGGCGCCCTGGGTGCACTGCAGGAATCCCGTCGACCCCCTCGCCCTCTCTCTGACGCGGGTTGGTTGGCGTCTCTCGGCTGGGCACATCCTGCGCACCGACGACGGCCACACCTTGGACATGCTGCTCATGGGCCCCCGCGAGCTCGGGCTGCTGGCTGCCGCAGGTGCCCGCAGGGCCTCCGACAGGGCCGAGATGACGCGGCTTGGGCACGGAGCCGCCCCCTCCATGCCCTTGTTCTGGGACGCACTCGGGCAGGTCATCGGCCCGCGCGGCAGGTTTAGCTGCAGGGAGAAGGCCGCAGTGGTGAGCTACCTGTCGAACGCCCACTGGCCGCAGACTCGCCTCTTTGCGTCTGGCGAGCGGGGCCACTCGCGCTGCTGCGCCTGCGGCGAGGCGCGTGGCAGCCTCTGGCACAGGCTGTTCGAGTGCCAAGCCCTGGCCGCCGAGAAGAGGGACTCGCTGTCCGCCCGCCTTCTTCGCCGCGCCACTCGGGTGCGGCAGCGCGGTGAGGAGACAGGGGGGTGCTTCTCCAGGTGCTGGCTGCCGCAGCCCCCGCAAACGGCCTGGAGGTCGGACGCGATGGCAGTCATGTGGGTGAACAAGCCTGCCGACGGGCTGCTAGGCGGTCGTCTCCACCTTGACGGCTCGGCGCTGGACCCTGAGTTCGAGCGCATCCGCAGGGCTGGCTGGAGCATCGTGCAGTGCGACGAGCACGGCAACATGCAGGCGGCGGTGTGCGGCACGGTCCGCCTCGACCTGTGTCCCTTCCAGACGGCGAAGGACGGCGAGGACTTCGCGGTCTGGATGCTGAGCCGCTACCTCGGGCCGTCGATCATCGAGCTCAACATCGACTGTGCGTCCACGGTCAGCTGCTTGAAGCTTGGCAGGAAGTACGCGACGGCGGCCAACAAGCCTAATGCGCACCTGTGGTCGGCCGTCTACGCCTCCCTCGATGTGGACTCGCTCAAGGTGAACAAGGTGGCGGCCCACTGCACCGAGATCGACGTTCGCGAGGGCAGGATCTCGGAGGTGCATTGGCGTGGAAACTCCCACGCCGACAGGCTGGCGAAGGCGGGGGCGGCCCTCCACAGGGTCAGCGCGGCTGCCAGGCGCGAGTTCTTCGGCGCGATGGAGGTCGTGAGAGAACTCTCCAGGTGGGTCGCGCAGGCCTCGATCGTCTGGCAGGGCAGGGCCCCCAAGGACTGCGAGGGCCTCCCTGAGGGCGGCGAGCGAAGGACTGCTGTCACCTTCGCGGTCCCGCTTGAGGAGCGCGCCGACGGCCTGCTGGCGGTCCCCGCGAGCGGTTCGCGCGCCGCGCCCGCCGCCGTGGAGCCCCGCGGGGAGCAGGCAGGCAGCCGCCCCGCCGATGATGGCGCCCGGGCATCGGCGGCGCGCGACGGCGGAGTGGGCGCCCTGGTCTTCGCCTTCGCTGGGCACGCCCTCGCGCACGCCAGGTGCGGCGAGGACGGCGCCGAGCAGCGTGCACCAAGTGCGGAGCGTATGCGAGGCTTGGCGGGCGCTCTGGCACGCAGCCCAAGCTGAAGGAGCGGCGTCCTGGAGCGACGGGCCTCCCCAAGTCGCTGCGGGACCAGAAGTCGCGGTGGGAGCGTGGCCTCCACCCTGGGGGCACGCCGCGCGTCCGCAACACGCGGACGAAGGGGGCGGAGGCCGCCCGCCTTCGCAAGGAGGCCGAGGTGCCGCAGGACGCCAGGGTGCGCTTCCTGAAGTGGCTCGGGGTCCAGCCTGATGCCCCAGCAGGCGAAGAGCGCTCCGCCTCGGTGGCTGGCGCTGTTGGGGGCGGCGCTGGCGGTGCGGCCTCTTCCTCGACGGAGGCGCCTGCGGCGGCTGGAGATGCCGCGGCGGGCGCGGGCTCGCGGCAGGCCTGGCTGGGGGCCCATGGCCTCGATGAGGAGAGCCTTCAGAGCTGGGCCGCTGCGGCCGAGGAGGCCCGAGCCGAGCGGCAGAGCAGGAAGCGGCGCAGAGATGATGGAGATGGAGGTGATTGAGTCCTGGCTGGCCCCAGCCTTGGGGCGCTCGGACCGCGCGAACGCGCGAGTGCCGTGCTCTCGTGGCTCCTGACTGTGGAGCGCCAGCCTGCCCCTCCTCCTGTCCTCCCTCTGCGTGTGGGACCCCTGGTGGCCGCGGGCCTCGGCGCGAGGGCGTGAAGATTCTTGCGCCTCGCCTGCCTCGCCGTGCCGCCTGGTGCCGCGCAAGCATGTTTGGGGCGTCGCCCATCGAATGTTTGCATGTTTGCATATATTCCAGCGCTTCGCGCTGATGCCCCTTGACGGGGGTCCAGAGCTGACGGGCCGAGTAGTGCCTCGGGGCCGATGCGCCCTGGAGGCAGCCTCCTGCGGCTCGTCTGGGCTCTAGGGGCCCCTTGCGGCCCTCCCCCTGTCTTGGGACGGCCCCTTTGGGCTTGGGCCTCTCAGTGGGGCCTGGGCCCTCTGTGGGCTCCCTGTTAGCCTTTATAGGCCCCGCGTTACACGTTACACAGCAGCACGGCTCCGTAGCCATTTTGGCTCAAGGCCATGGAGCGTCCGACGACCGCGAGTCGTCCGCGGCGTTCTGAGCGCGAGGACCTCCTCGCTGCGGGCCAAGAGTTGAAGTGTGATCTCTGGCCCTCTCGTCGGCCGCTGTGCGCGCCCCCCGCCGCGCACCCTGCTGGTCTTCGGCCATGGCGGGGTTTGGCTCTGGGCAAGTGGCTGCGGCATCGGGGAAGGGCCGCTGACAAAGCGCACTGCGTCTGCCCGTGCGGCGAGCGAAACTACTGCAAGCGGTGGACCTGCAAGACCTGCGGCTCCCAGGCGCCTCCCTGGACGAAGCCATATCGCGGCATCCCAGGCCCGCTGGCTGACGGCGACGGGTTCGTCCAGCAGCCCAGGGGGCGCTCGGCGCAGCGGGCGGCCCGCCGCGCGGCCGCTGCAAGCCAGCGCGCGGCCTCTGGCGCGAGCGCCGCGCCCGGCAGCGCGCCCAGCAGCAGGGCGCGCGGCAAGGGGTGCGGCAAGGGCGGCGGCAAGGCAGGGTCTGAGGGCCAGTCCCAGCTGGAGGGGCTTCGGCGGCAGCTCGCGGAGGCCAAGGACCACGTCGGCTTCCTCCTGCAGGCTGCAGCCCTCGCGGGGCGCTCTGATGTGTTCAGGCGCGAGGCCGAGGAGGCGCTGCAGGCCGAGCGCGACCGCGTCCTGGCCCTGGAGTCTGCCTTGCAGAAGGCGCAGTTGGTCGAGCGGCCGCCCCACGCTGTGCTCCGCGGCGAGGCCAACGCCATCCAGAAGGCTGAGCGCCAGCTGGTCAAGGCCCGTGCCACGCGTGAGCGCAAGGTGCAGGAGGCTGACACCCTCAAGGACTCGATCGCGGACACGCAGGAGAAGCTGTCCTGCCTGGAGGTCGAGATCGAGGAGGCCGTCGACGAGATCGCGAAGCTGGAGGAGACCGCGGCGCAGGCCACGCAGCAGGCCCTTCTGCGGGCCAACGAGGTCTTCGGATGCTCCCAGGGCGAGCTCAGCGCGGCGGTGCGGGGGCTCCTCATGCAGGCCCACGGGCTGGCGGACATCCTCAAGCAGTGCTCGGAGGGCGTCCCGCCCAGGCTGGTTGAGATCGTCGGCTACCTCCGCACCCAGGGCGAAGCGGTCTCGGGTCTGCTGGAGTCGCGTGCCTCCCGCGCTGGAGCGACAGCCTCGGCGACGACGGCCTCGTCGTCGACCTCGAGGCGGCGGGCCCCCCTCAGCCAGCAGGTGCCGCCCTCAGCGGCGAGGTCCAGCCCGCAGCTGCGCGGGCCCCGCCGGCCCCAGCGCCAGCCCCGTCAGGGAGAGAGCGGCCTGCTGTTGGGCCCTACGGGCCCGCGGCCGCGCGAGGCCAATCGGGCGCCGCCCTCGGTGCCTGGCCGCAGCCCGACAGCGGCCTCCGCAAGTCCCTGGCAGAAGCGAGAGCAGCCATGGTCGACGACGATGCGCTGGCCGCAGTGGGCGGTCTGGCTGCTCCTGCTGCTGGGAGCTATGGGCCGCGTCGCGGGTGGCCCCCGCGGAGGGGCTGCGCCCGCCTGGGCAGAGGCGTGGCCCGCCGTGGCTGGCGCCGCCGGCCCCTCGGCGCCCCCCCGAGGGCTCCGGCGGTGGAGGCACAGCGTCAGGAGCGCTCGGGGGCGCTGGCGCCCTCCTGTGCGACAGCGGCGCGTGCGGGCTGGGCATCGGAGCCACGGTAGCCTGCCGGCGCGGTCGGGGGCACCGCGGTGGCCCCCCGACGGCCAGTCAGGGACCAGGAGCGGTGGGATTCAGCCCCACGTCGTCGCAGCTCCTGGCCCTGACGGCGAGTTGGCTCCACCGCCCGCCCGAGCCCGCTAGGCCCCGCGGCCTGTCGCAGGGACCCCCCAGCGCGGAGAGACGGCTGGCGAGGTCCAGGCAGTCCTCGGGTCTGAGGTGCTGGACGCCGTGCAGGTGTGGAAGCCTCGGCATGCTCAGGAGGCCGCCATCGGCTACCAGCCAGCGCTGAGCGGAGGCGGCCCCCCTGCGCGCCCACGGGCGGGCCTCGAGGTGCTCGGCTGCAATGGCAACGCCTGGGGCAGGAGCGTGGAGGTCCTCGAGGCGTTCTTCCAAGCCCACGGCTACTGGCCGCAGCTCGTCATGCCCCAGGAGACACGGCTAACCGCGGAGCGCATCTCTGGGGCGAGGAGCATGGCCAGGGGCCTCGGGTACTCGGCCTTCTTCCACGAGGCTGCACCTACGGCGCAGCAAGGGCCCCTGGCCCACTCGGGTGCCGTGGCAACCCTGGTGCACAGCAGCCTGCAGGCAGAGGAGTCGCTCTTCCAGGTGCCTGCGGCGCTGCGCCACCGCCCCATTGGCGTCGAGGTCGTGCCTGCGTCAAGGCTGCGCCTGTTGGCGGCGACTGGCTACTTCCACCACTCCCTGGGCCCCGGGGGCATCAACCTGGACATCTTCACGGCGTTCGCCGACTTGGTGGCCTCCTCGTCGGACATGCCGCGGGTCTTCCAGGCTGACTTCAACATGGAGCCAGACGGGCTGCAGGAGCTCGGCTGGCCCGCGGCGTTGCGAGGGCAGGTGCTTGGGCCGTCTGGGCCGACTTGCTGCTCCGAGGGCGCGGAGCACATCTACGACTGATTCGTGGCCTCGTCGGCCCTGGCCACCTGCACGGTGTCATGTGCTACGACGCTGGAGGGGTTTGGCATGTGCCCCCACCGTCCTGTGCCCCTTCGGCTCCAGGGCGTTCGAGGGGATGCGCTGGTGGACGCCCCCTCGCGCCCCGCCCGCTTCCCCGATGCGGCTGTTGGTGACCTTCGTGCCCGTGGGGGGGCCCCGCTTCAAGCCTTCCAGGTCGGCAAGAAGGGCGCGGTGACCCAGCTCGGCATCTCGCGGCCATGGGCCGCGGGCGAGCTCCCCTCCAACCTCTCCACCGCGCTCCGCGAGTGGATTGGCGTGGCCGAGGGCACCCTGGCTGGCATCCACGAGGTGTCGTTCGCTGACTTGGCTCACTTTCTTGGGCGCGGGGCTGGGCCCAGGACGGTTCGCAAGCCGTTCAGCGCCCTCGTCAAGCGGGAGGCCAGGTTGAAGTACAGCCTCCTCACCCACCACATTCGGAGCTGTCTGGACGGGGCCCCCCAGCGGCTGCGAGCCGTGAAAACGGACCGCTGGCACCCCCGCCATCCTGGATGGCACGAGCGCGAGGCGGCCGCCAGGGCGCGGCTGCTGGCGAAGGCGGCCCAGGAGGCGGCCGCTGCTGGCAGCGAGGCGCTGCTCGGCGTCTCCGCTGCGCAGTGGGGCGACCTCGTTCATCACGCGGGCGCCAGCGGATGCCCGACTGCCCTCGCGAAGCTGCAGTCGTGGCTGGCCGCCTCGCAGAGGCGCGACGCGGCTGCGGGCGCCGCGGCTTGGCGCAAGTGGGCTCAGACGGCAGTGGAGAAGGGCGGCCGCCTGGCCCACCGCTTCTCCAAGGCGACCCCCCTCCTGTCGTCAGGGACGCCGACAGCGGGAAGCCTCTCGTCGGCATGGCCGCGATAGGCCAGCTCACCGAGACGCGGCAGCGGCTCTGGCTCCAGGAGGGCTTCGCCCGCGGCGAGGGCGCCAGCAGGTGGGGCGTCGGACGCTGGACGCTCCCGCCCATCACGCTCGAAGAGGTTCAGGGGCTTGCAAGCGGTTCAGCCCCTCTGTCGGGCTCGGTTGTGATCACCTGCACCCCCGCCAGCCCCCCCTGCCCCCCGCGGCGCTGCAGCGCCGCCTCATCGACATCCTGACGGCCTTCGAGGAGATGCCTGCCTCCATCAGCGGCCAGGTGGTGCTCGCGGTGTTCATCCCCAAGGCGGACGGGGGATGCGGCCCATAGCGCTCCTCTGGACTTACGGCTGCGGTCGCGCCTCCGCCAGCCGCGCTGCGCCCGCTGGGAGGCCGAGCACAACTCCCCCTTCTTCCGGTGGCGCGAGGGGCGCGACTGCGAACGCGCTGGCTGGATCCACAACTACTTCGCGGGTTTCGCGATGGCCACCCCGCAGTTTGAGGCGGCCAGCGTTTTCCTGGACATCTCCAAATTCTATGAGCACGTCCGCCGCGACGTGCTCTGGGAGACGGCGCAGCGCTTCTCCTTCAACCTGAAGTTGCCCAGGGGCCTCCTGGCGATCTACCAGGCACCGCGGCTGGTCTGGGCTGGAGGCATCGCCTCCGCGGCCTTCAGCGCCAGGGGCACGGTGCTCGCTGGCTGCGCGCGCGCCACGGCCGTCGCGAAGCTTTCTGTGCTGGGGGCCCTCCTGGCGACAGGGGCGCAGCGGCCGCTGGTCACCCCTCGGAACGTGGTCGACGAAATCTCGCTGCAGGCTGCGGGCTCGGCGCGGCTTGTTCTGGACCAGCTCGTGGGCTGCAGCTGCGAGGTGGCCCGCCAGCTGCGAGCCGGCCACCTCCCGCTCAACGAGAGCAAGACGGTCTTCCTCGCCTCGTCGCCGCAGCTCGCCAGGGGCCTGGCGGCGGCTTGGGAGGCACGCGGCCTCTCCTTCAAGCGGGGCCTGCAGGCGCGGAACCTGGGCGCGGATGCGAACATCACCCGCAGGGGCGTTCGCGAAGGGGCTGCTCGGGCGGCGGGCAGCCTCAGCCGTGCCAGGCGGCGGCGTGTCCTGCAGCATGCGGGGGCGCCTGTGGTCGTGGTGCACCGCGCGGGCCCGACGGCTGCGACGCTGCGGGGTCGGACCGTCACGAGAGTTCCCGACGGGGAGCTGCGCTCCTGGCGCCTTGCGGCGGCTAGGTATGCTGGGAAGGTGCCCAGAGGTGCTGCGCTCGGGCTAAGGCTCAGAGCGGCCGAGGTCTTGCGGTCCTCCGACCTCGACCCCAGCCCCGCCTTGGTGCGCCATGCGGTCCAGATGGCGGCCAGCCTCCTGCAGTCGGGGGAGGTCCCCCTGCGGGCGTTAGCGGCTTGCCTGGCCGAGGCAGACAGGAGGCACGCCAGCGCCTCGGCGCCGTGGGCGCACTGCCGCACAACGGCGGGCGCGCTGGCCCTCTCCCTGGCCAGGATTGACTGGAGGGTCGCCGGCGGCAACTACCTCGTCGCTGAGGACGGCAACTCCATGGACCTCCTCCTCGTGGGCCCTCGTGAGCTGAGGATCTTGGCGGCGGCGGGAGCGCGCAGAGCATCGGACAGGGCCGGGCTGGCGCGGCCCCCCCGACGCCGTTGTTATGGGAGGCGCTCTCGGAGGTCCCGGGCCCGCGCAGCAGGTTTGAGGCGCGGGGGGGGGCGGCAGTCGTGAGCTACCACTCCAGCGCCTTCTGGCCGCAGACCCGCCTGCGTGCCGCTGGCGAGCCAGACCAACCGCGGTGCTGCGCCTGCGGGGCGGCGCGCAGCAGCCTCTGGCACAGGCTCTTTGAGCGCCCAGTCCTCGCTGCGGCGCGCCGCGACTCGGTCTCGGATCGCCCGTAGGTGCGCCCGTCGGGCCAGGGGCCGCAGCGAGGCGGCGGGCGAGAACTTTGCTCGAGGCTGGCTGCCTGGCCCTCCCAGAGCTGCTCCGCGCACCGACGCCATGGCGGCGACGTGGGCCAACAGGCCTGAGGGCGGGTTGCTGCGGGGCCGCCTCTTCCTGGATGGGTCGGCGATGGACCCCGAGCACGAGAGCCTCCGCCGCGCGGGCTGGAGCATCGTGCAGTGCGACGCGGACGGCGACCTGGAGTCCGAGGTCTACGGCACCGTCTGCCTGGACCTCTGCCCCCTCCAGACGGCCAAGGACGGCGAGGACTTCGCGGTCTGGATGCTGAGCCGCTTCGCTGGGCTCAACGTGGAGGAGCTCTGCATCGACTGCGCCTCCACCGTGAGCTGCCTCAAGCTCGGCCGCAAGTACGCGACGGCGATGGGCAAGCCGAACGCGCACCTCTGGTCGGCCATCCACGCGTCGCTCGACGTCGACACGCTCAAGGTGGCGAAGGTGGCGGCCCACTGCAGGGCCGAGGACGTTCGAGAAGGCAGGATCTCGGAGGCGGTCAGGCGGGGCAACTCCCACGCAGATCACTGGGCCAAGGCAGGTGCGCACCTCCATAGGTGCAGCGCCGCCGCGAGGAGGGGCTCTTCGGCGCGATGCTGGTGGTGCTGGAGCTCACACGCTGGATCGCGCAGGCCTCCCTCATCTGGCAGGGCATCGAGGCCAAGGACTGCCAAGGTCCCCCCGAGGCGAGCGAGAGGCGGAGCGTCTCTTTCGCGGAGCCCGCGGTGGAGCAGCAAGGGTGCCAGCAGCCACATGGAGGAGGAGGAGGAGGAGATCCATGCGGCGCTGGCATGGAGGCAGCCTGGGCCTCGGCGGCGCGAGCTGGAGGTGTCGCCCTCGGTGCGGTGGCCTTTTTCCGTCGCGGGCCACGCCCTCCCTACGCCAGGTGCGGAGCTGATGACGACGAGCAGGAGCTGGTGGCCTGCGCCAACTGCAGCGCCTACGCGAGGCTGGGCGACAGGGCGGGTGCAAGGCCCAAGCTCAAGGACCGCTGTCCTGGCTCGGCTGGCCTGCCCAAGGCCTTGCGGAACCAGCGGTCCCTGCGGGAACGGGGCCCCCATCCCGCCGGCAAGGCCCACAGCGGCAACAAGCGGGACAAGGACGCCGAGGCCCCCCGCCTCCGCAAGGAGGCGACCGTCCCCACCGACGCCAAGATCCGTTTCGTCGACTGGTTCGGCGTCCGCCCCCCCGACCGCGACGGCGGCGAGCCCGTGGTGCCTGGAGGCACCGCTGGCAGCCCTGGCGCCGCCGCCGCCGCCCCCGCGGCTAGTGTGGCGCCCGCCGCAGGCGCGAGCGGGCACGCGGCCAGCTCGAGGCAGGCCTGGCTCGATGCGCATGGCCTCGACGAGGCGGCGCTGCGGAGCTGGGCCGACGTGGCTGAGGCCAGCCTTGAGGAGAGACGGCGGCGGAAGCGGCCGCGAGCGGTTGGCGATGATGAGAGCGACTGAGCTGCGCGAGGGGCGCGACCGCTCGCTCTGCTGCGCAGCTCGAGGCAGGCCTGGCTCGACGCGCACGGCCAGCACGAGGCGGCGCTGCGGAGCTCGGCCGATCGCGCCCATTTGTTCCATGGCTGGTCTGACGGGGCCTGCCCGGTCCGCCCTGCAGACCACAGGGTCAATTTCGGGCACGAGCGGGCCATGCGGCCCCGCGGTGAGGACTTTCAGGAGTGCGACTGAGCGACTGAGGCGGCGTTGGTGGGCCCCACATGGGGAGATCGTGCCACGCGAAGCGTGTGCCGCGGCCGCCCGCTCTGTCGAACAGTTCCAGTCCCTTCTTTCCCAGGTGTGTCTCTCTGGCCTCCGTGAGACCCTGGATGACCCCTGGAGGCGAGGTTGGGTTTCCCTTGGGGCCAAGGTGCTCCGCCTCTGGGCCTCGGGGTTCTTTTTTGCCTCCTGGAGCTTTGCTCTGTACGGGGACGGCCCTCGTAGGCCCTCTGGGTTAGGCCCAGAGGTGGCCTCGGGCTTTGGCGCCTCAGTGGTGCCCTCCAGCCTCTATAGGCCCCGCAGAACCAGAACCAGAACCACAGCAGCACGGCAGACCGAACGGCGGACCAGTGCGGCAGTCCAGCACGGCAGACCAGCATGGCAGACCATAGGAGCAGAGTAGAGTCAGGCGCTGGCAGAACTGGGTTTAATGGGACCTGGTTCAATGATAACTACTGGGGGACTCCCCCCCCGCCCCGTTCCACTAACCAGAACTGCCGTCACCCGGAAAACACCAGCTACGGCAGACCTGGTTTAGCGATTCTTGCAAATTTAGGGGATCCGAGGCCCTACTACTAACCAGTTCCCCTTACCTGGGGTCCTGGCTATACCCGATAGAGGACAGCAGCACGGCAGACCAGCACGGCAGACCAGCAAGGCAGACCTGCACGGCAGACCACACGCGCATAGCAGACCAGCACGGCAGACCAGTACGGCAGACCAGCACGGCAGACCAGCACGGCAGACCACAGGAGCATAGCAGACCACAACAGCACGGTTCCGTAGCCATTTTGGCTCAAGCCTGGCTCGGCGCTCGGCGGCGGGCGCTTGGGCATGATGGCGCGGGCGGGGACGCTGGTCAGTGTTCCTGGTGCTGCACGCGCTTGCCTCGGCGAGCCGCGGCGGACGCGCGCGGAGCGTTCTGCGGCTCGGAGGCGGGCGCTCGAGGCTGCGGACAACGGTGTGAAGGCGGCACTCGCGGAGGCAGCGGCCCTGCGCATCGAGCTGGAGGCCGTTCGGCGGTGCTTCGCGTCCTACGTGGGCGACGCCGAGCTGGCCGACCGCCTGGAGGCGATCGTGCCCGCGCTCACGGCCTTGCTGCGGGGAGTGGCCCCCGAGCAGGAGGATGCTGTGCGGAGGAATGTGGCTCTCCACGCCGACGCCCCTGGGGTCAGGGTTGCTTCGGCGTGTGGCCTCACCCTGCGGCGGCTCCAGCGGTCCGCCAGGCTGGAGGCGAGGCGTGTGCGCAAGTTCGAGTGCCACGTGGAGGTTTGCGAGGCTGAGGCGCTGCCGCAGCTCGGCCGAGTTGTGGCCCTGCGCACGGCTTTGCGGTCGGCTGCGAGGCCCTTCGCCCCAGCTGGGGTTGACCCCGTTGCCGGCGGCGGCGGTACCCAGGTGATGCAGGCCCAGGTCAACGTCGATGAGTGCGACGAGGCGCGGCAGCAGCTTAACATGGAGTTCGTTCTGGCTGGGCGCGCCCGCGTCGGGCGTGGCGCCCGCATCGGCGTTTGCTACGTGCCTTCCCCTCTCTTCCCTGGGGTGTCGGAGGTTGACTGCGTGGTGGACTTCGTGCAGGCCGCGGGCGCTATGGCGGCGCCGCCGCGCGCTGTTGGCGAGTGCTCCGACTCCGACAGCGTGGTCCTCGACGGCGAGGCCGACGTGGCCACCGCTTGCTCGGTTGGGGAGCAGCCAGCCGCCGAACCTGCTGAACATGTTGCTGCCGCCGCCGCCGCGTACCTCGACGCCTTCCCGCAGGCCCTCTTCCGTGGGGGCGGCGGCGCCAGGGCTCGTGGCGAGGTCGCGGCTCGTGATTGGTGGCGTGCGAGGGCGGCCGTTGCCCGCGCTTGGCTCACAGCGGATGCCGCGACGGTGCAGGCGCCCTCGGATGAAGGAGCGAGCGTTGGAGGTACTGCAGGCGGGGCGCCGCTGCCTCCAGGCTTGGATTGGAGGAGTGGTTGGAGCAGCGTGGTTAGTGCTCCTGGTGAGACGTCATCTCCCTGCGTGTTCGGAATGCCTTCTGAGTGATGGTTCGCCTTGCACGTCTGTTCCCCATTGGATGTGGGGGGCTGTGGTTGTTCAGTGGGTTATGTCTCCTGCATTTGAATGTGCACGTGGTGTATTTGCAATGCAGGGGGCCCCCTCGTTGATTGAGGCAAGCCGTTGCTTTCCGTTTCTGCTGCTTGCCTTGCGTGCGGACGCTAATTCCGTTTGCTCCGTGCATTCGCATTTCTTGTATTTGAATGTGTACGTGAGCTCTTCTGTGCAGCTTCGCTGCTTCTGTTGCCTCTCGGCACTGCCCGCCCTCGTGGCCCTGGGGCCTAGGCGCCCCCGTTGGCCCTGGCGGGCGTCTGGCGCTCCGCGCCCCCCTGCGGGGGCCCCTTTCGGGCCCCCTGGGCTGGCCCTTGAGGCCCTGGGGCCAATGGGCTCCGTGGGCCTCGGGCTTCTTTTAGCCTTCATAGGCCCCGCACGACACGACACAACAGCACGGTAAACCAACACGGCAGACCAGCACGGCAGACCAGCACAGCAGTCCGGCACGGCAGAACAGCACGGCAGACCAGCAAGGCAGATCAGAAAAACATTGCAGAACACAGCAGCACGGCAGACCAGCACGGCAGGCCAGCACAGAAGACCAGCACAGCAGACCAACACCGATTTTCTCCATTCGGCGCCGGGCAGACCAGCACGGCAGACCACACGAGCATAGCAGACGGCAGCAGCACGGCAAGCCAGCACGGCAGGCCAGCACGGCAGACCAGAACAACATTGCAGAACACAACAGCACGGCAGAACAGCACGACAAACCAGCACGGCAGACCAGACGGCAGACCACACGAGCATAGCAGACTGCAGCAGCACGGCGAACAAGCACGGCAGACCACAGGAGCACAGCAGACCACAGCAGCACGGCAGACCAGCACGGCAAACCAGCACGGCAGACCAACACGGCTGAACAGCACGGCAGACCAGCACGGCAGTCCGGCACGGCAGAGCAGCACGGCAGACCAGCACGGCAGACTACAAGAACATAGCAGACCACAGCATGTTGATGGTGACGATGCTACTGCTGCTCATGATGATGATGATGGCGGTGATGATGATACTGATGATGGTGATGATGATGATGATGACGATGATGACGATGATGATCGTGGTCATGATCATGCGAATGATGATGATGATGATGATGATGATGATGATGATGATGATGATGATGATGATGATGATGATGAGGATGAGGAGGAGGAGGAAGGACTACTCGGGGTGTGCTTGGGCGGTTTGGGAGTCATCTGGGGAACCTTTGGACTAGCAACTTACATTTGAGTAGACGTTGCAACCCCACTCTCGATTTTTCCTCCAAATAGGCTTGCCCTATAGGAGCTCTAATTCAAACCCTACTAATTGGTCCGTTGCCCCCCCCTAATTCCTACGCCCCCGATAATTCCTATGCCTACGCCTATGCTTATGCCTATGTCTATATGCTCGCGTGCGCTTGCTTGCTTCCGCTTGCATGCTTGCGCTTGCTTGATGTTGCTCCTCCCGTCCTCCTCCCGTCCTGCTCCCGTCCTCCTTTCGTCTTCCTCCCATCCTCCTCTCGTCCTCCTCCTGTCCTTCGAACTATTTGGAGTCAACGCTGGCTGATATTGATCGGCCTGACCGCTGTATCGGCATACCATAGCAGCAAGACACAGCGCGCCACATTTCCAATTCCAGTCCCCGAGTAATCAATATCAGCCAGCGTTGACTCCAAATAGATAGGAGGACAGGAGGAGGACGAGAGGAGGATGGGAGAAGGACGAATGGAGGACGGGAGCAGGACGGAAGGAGGACGGGAGAAGCAAAATCAAGCAAGCGTAAGCATGCAAGCGGAAGCAAGCAAGCACAAGCGAGCATAGGCATAGGCATAGGCATAGGCATATAGGCATAGGCTTAGGCATAGGAGTTAGGGGGGAAGCATAGGCAAAAATAGGCATAGGCATAGCCATAGGAATTAGGGAGGGCATAGGAATTAGGGGGGTCAAAGGACCAATTAGTAGGGTTTGAGTTAGAACTCCTATAGGGCAAGCCTATTTGGATAATCTAGATCATACATCGTCTTGTCACAACGTTGTAATGATTGAACTCCGCTCGAGGGGGAGAGAGGGAAAGGGGGGGCGACAAAAGGTCCGTTACCCTCCCAGAACCACGCTGCGCGAACTTCTGCGAGCAGGCCCTGGGACACGCAAAATACAGCAGAGTTGCGCTCCTGGTGCCACAATCTCATAGATTACAACAAGCTTGCGCCCCCGAGATCACAGTCCCTGGTAAAGTACTGCAGCTTCGCGATCCCGAGGCCACGGCCAATTGTCATGTGCGCCGCGCTCACGCTACCGAAGTCACCATCCTTTTCTGTAGATGATTACGTCAGGTCGACGCTACCGGTGCCACAATCTCTTATACAGGTCTCCCGCTCGCGTGCCCGAAGACACAAACCCAAACCAATAACGACGGGCACGCGCCCAAGAGCCAGAAAACACCTTGTAAATCACAGCGCGTTCGCTGTCCCGAGGCCACGCACCCGACCGATGGAGGCTGTGCCCAAAAGCTCCTGGGAATCCGGCTCTGGACCCGAGACCATGAAACCTCAAAATAGCTAGGGTTAGGCCGGGCATATCCCTCTACAGGCGCATTTTGGACGGAAAGCGAAAAATATTCAAACAATACCCTAAACAAAAAACGAAAATAGCAACAACAAATCATCCCCCGATTATTGCTTTGGTATGTTTAGACATTCCTCTGGTAGAGGGGCATTCCAGATGTAAAGCAAAGGATGCGCACTCCTTAAGCCGCGAACCCCGGCAAGTTCCAGTGGAAGCGCGCTCCCAAGGCCAACATCTCGAACGAGTCACCACAGACGCGCGCAGCCAACCAGCCAGAAAGACCAGCGATTGCCAACAAAATATTTAGACGCCAAGCCAAGCAGCCGAATTGCAAGCCAGGCAACCGACAAGAAAACTATCTTTAGGTCGGGCATGTCCCTCTAAAGGCAGATGCTGGACGAAAAATGAAACATAGTCACACAAAGAATCAAAACTTGTCAAAAATCATGGAAAAAGTCGTCTCCAACTATTTCGAAACTATTATTGAACATTCCTCCTGTAGAGTGACACGCCCGACTGAGCCATCTGAGGGGTGCCAGCGGCAGAGGGCGAAGCCCTTTAGATCTCTTGATACCCATGCTGATTACAACCTGAAGTTGAACTTGCAACAGCAAGATGGCTCCTGCGCAGAGGATTAGGTCGGGCATGGCCCCCTACAAGATGACGTTGGACAAAAAAAATATAAAGTCACAAAAAATACACAAAAATGGGTCAACAATGCTCGAAACATCGCCCCCATACTATTTTCTGCGATGTCCGACTTAAGCAGAGGAAAGGGAGGACAAGAAGACGGAGGAAGAAGGGTGTGCGCATGCCTCTGCACACCCGTCCTGGGCCCTGCCCAAGCCCGCTCTGGAGTCACCACGCTAAGCTTAGGTCGGGCGTGTCCTCCTACGGGCGGATTTTGGAAGTAGAATTGAAAAATACTCCAACGTAGTCACAAATAATAGAAAAATCGTCCCCATACTATTTTTTTACTATTTTTGAACAGTCCCCCTGCAGAGGGACATGCCAGACTTGAGGCTTAACCCCTCCTTCCCCGACGTCGTGACTGCTTCACAAAGTCGGGAGCGGCCAAGAGGGGGGTGTCCAAGAGGAAATCATGACCGGCGGCATGTGCGCGGCCCAGCGGGGGGGCCAGGGACGTAAAGAAATAAAAAGAGGCGTCATGCAATCTGGGGAAATATCATGGCCCCCGCCATGATATCCACCCCCCCTAGTCATCACCCCCCTCTTTGCCGCCCCCGACAAAGTAGACCGCCGGAGCAGCAGACCCCCGCCCCGGGACTGGCTCTTCCTCCCGAGCTTCTTCACGGCGCCGGGGCCCAGCAGAAAGACACGCTGTCGCGGTTGGAGTTCTAGGCACCGTGCGGCCCCCCCCCCCCAAACAGTGGAGTCCAGTCCACAAGAAACCTGCCAAAAGAGACCCAGACCTGAGACACCAGGAAGTCCATGGATTTTGGGTGTGGGAACAACACGCTGTCCATGGCGAAAGCACCGGAACCCAAGAAACCCAGGGCACCCTGGAGGCAAGCAGGGTGTTTCTTGACATGGGTTTCCACTGTACCGCGGGGGGCCCCCCAGCGCGAGGGTCCCCGAAGCAAGACATGATGGCCGCCTTGATCTTGCGGTCCACCGCGCCTCGGCGGGCGCTGTCGGACGGAGAGCGTCGCGCGCTCGCGCGGGGGGGAAGAAGCGGGGGTGGAGGGGGGAAGGGGGAGAGGAGGGGAGGGAGGTGCGCCAGCACGCGGGCAGAATGTCCGAACCCTCGCGCACTTGAGGGGAATGGTCATCACCCCCCCACCCCCGAAGTCAGTGCAGACTTTACACTGGGTGATGGCTTTGGGGTTCGAATAGTTTTGTCCACCCAAGCATTGCTGCACCCTCCACATTAATGTTGGTCCCGGGGGGGATCTTGCGCCGGAAGGTTCGAACTGTTGTCCGTGTACGGGCTCGCGCCACAGCTGATTCCCTACCCCCCCCCCACATGTCCCTTCCCAATGCGCTGGCTGGTTTCTTCTCTATCCGCCGACGCCTTTGTGTTGTACGCAATCGGCAATGAGGAGATGTGCACATTGGAGGAAGTGGAAGATGAGCAGGATGAGCAGGAGGAAAACGAGGACAGGAGGGAAGAGGACGAGGACGAGGACGAGGACAAGCACGAGCAGCAGCAGCAGCAGCAGCAGCAGCTGGAGTAGAAGGAGCGGGAGGAGCAGGAAGGGTAGGCAAAGGCAAAGGAGGGGGCAGGATGGGGGCGACAACGACGAGGCAAGGCTCGGACCCAGAAGATGCGGCGAGAGCGCCACTCGAAGCGACGGGAGCAGAGCGCCGAGCTTAAAATAAGACGAACGCGGCAGCAGCCGCACCATGGAGACACCCAACGAGTCCAGATAATACAAGCCACAGGAAACACCATAGTTTGCCATCCTGCGTGTAGAAGAATGCGCTGATGTGGGGCGGGCGACTCCCTGGCCGTCTTCGGGAGCGCGGA